TCTCTCTTTCTCTCTCTCTCTCTCTCTCTCTCTCTCTCTCTGTGCCTGTGGCTTTGTATCATTTAGTCCCTACTCGGCTGGATTCACGGACGAGCACGGCTCATTTATCTTTAACCGCTCACGCTACACGCGATTTAGATAAATGCGAGCGGAGTTTACCCCTATTGTGCGCGCTGCGGTGCGTATTTTAAAAAAAAAAAAAGAAAAAAAAAATGTACGTATATAAATATACACACGGAGCCTGCAAATGATGAATTCAGGAGGAAGCCCCGGAGCACAGTCTCGCCAAGAGGGTCGTAACCTGGGGCGACGAGTCGGAGGGCGAACAAAGCCCAAAACCCCCGAGGGGTAGAACCAGCGGTCGCTACTCCCAACAACCAGCTCGTAACCCGAGCTTCAACGTACACGGCATTCCAGCTGCCGATCATCCCGGGGACTCCCCCAAGTGGAAGCCCGCCAGGGGACAAAACACTTTCGGTGGCCAAGGCAAGGAGGCCGACGAGTGGTACGATGGAGTGTCGAGCGAGAGCAAGGTACGCCAACGTGTACACATGTGTATATACATGTATTGTGTCACCCGCAACAAAATTAATTATTTTCGCTTCCCCACCCCCCCGCCTCTGCCAGAAACCCCACCGGGAAAAGCCAGCAGCGGTCGAGCGCAACCCCGCGGGCATCGCCGCTGTCTACGAGCCAACTACGGGGGCGCGTTGCCCGACGCCCGACGCGACCGGGCTCTTTGCCTACCCGCCCGACTGCAAGTTCTACGTGACCTGCTGGAAGGGCCGGGCGTTCGTCATGCCGTGTTCACCGGGCACGCTCTTCAGCCCCGACACCCTCGAGTGCGACTTCCCGGCCAAGGTCAAGTGCTACGGCGGCGAGCCGGCCGACTTTGCCACCGGACCGGACCACGACGATGGCCGGAGCACGGAACTACTGGTCCAACAGACCCGCGCCAATCTCGAGGCTGGCCAACGGGTATAATATATGTATATTTATAACATACACACCTTGCGACTACATGTCTATTCTCTCGTGGACGCGGGTAAAGGTTGCGCGCGTGTATATACATAATAATATATACTTTACAGGACGAGCCGGTGTGCCCGGCTAACTTGAGCGGCTTGATGGCCTTGCCGTCGGATTGCACAAAGTACGTCCAGTGCGCCAACGGCTTGGCTTACGTCATGGATTGCGGGCCGGGGACCGCTTTCAATCCCAGCTCGAACGTCTGCGACTGGCCGCACAACGTACCCGGCTGCTCGACGCCACCGGTTGACGCTCCGTCGAGTCGGAAGAACCATCAGAGGGACCATTCGACGGTCCACGAGTACCCGGTGCAGGGCAGCTCGGAGAGCCAACCGGTTGACTCGCAGTACCAAGGGTCCTCGGCGGCCACTCGGTGGGAATCTCGTGTCATCCCGGGCCATCAGTCCCCTCGAGCCGAAGACGACAGTGGGTACACGCCCGGTGCTCCGAGCCACGAGATCAATGGCCACGCTCACCCTTACGGCCCGCAACAGTTCCACGGTGGGCCCGTCTCGGAAGTTGATGAGGCCTCGAGCGAGGAGGATACCAGGTCCTCGGAGGCTGGTTACCACCGGGGATGGGCCTGGAGCCAGCCAGTGGGAGAGAATCGGCCGTACGTGCCTCGCGACAGGAGGCCGTACGCGCGCGAGGACGATGGATTGGCGGTCGACGTGAGAGCTCCGGGTGGAGGGGACGCCGGCTGGCGGGGCATGGGACGAGGCTTCGAGCAGAGACCTAGTTACCCCGCTCGGGATCTTCCCTCGACGACTGAACGTGAGATTTCCTTTTTTTTTCCCTCCCCCCCCCCCTTTACTTGTGTGTAGGTGATGCGACAATAGACTATTCACGAGGATTTTTATGCAAAGATACACGTTATTGCTTCTGCACAGCTTACGTTTGCTGGAACGATAAATGCATGTGTGAGAATAATATGCTCAAATAATTAATTGACACTTCATTTTGTTTGTCTTTCTTTCGAGTGAAGAATTGAGAATTTACATTGTTGTATATTCAAAAAAAAAAAAAAAAAAAAAAAAAAAAAAAAAAAAATCCACGAGAACAAGACATTGAGGATCAATATGAAGATCTTGGCAACGTCGGCTTTTATGATTTTCTGACTTCACATTCTGCCAATGGAAACAATTTTCTCTTGTATTAAATTCTCGTACAGGTGTAAGCACGACGGTGACGATAAATCACAGGCCATTCGAGAGGCCAGTAAGTCCAAATATTTACAACTCGGACAGCGAACGGTGGATATGGTCTCCATCATCGAAAAACGAAACGATACCAGGTTGATTGAACAGTTTTCCAACATTTCCGACTCACCGTTTGCTACAATACAAGCATTTTGTTCATTTGAAATGATTTTTGTCACATAGCCGCGAAAGCTCCTAGAGGACAAATTTTTGAAGCAGATCGCGGCACGGGGGTTCGTTCGACCGCAAACGGCACGAGAGGCCACTTCATCACCCAAACACCTTTGATCTTTCAAGGCCATTCGCAAACGAGAACTCAAAATTCAAGAGCTTTAAACGAAAGCCTTCCCTCTGCGAGCCACCGGCAACACGTCATGACCATACCGCCGCGACATCCTGTCACTTGGAGGCCATTTTTCAACACTCCTGCTTCACCGCGACTCAACGTTACAATGGTATACTATAGTAGTCGTGCTCCATATTAATTACTTTAGTTGCGGACCAACTTGATTAATTCTTGTGGTCAATGCAGATTACTTCCACCGGTGTGGAAAAACCTAAACCCGATTCAAAGTACGAGAGTCCGGAAATTTTCGATTCCAACAAAAAGAAGGAATTCTCTTACATCGGCAATGCTGACGATGAGTCCGATGTCCCGACTGTATCGATTGAGTTGGAAGAGGAGTGGAACTCATCGCTGCCCTTGCCCCCCGAAAAACCAAGCAAAAAACCAATTGTCGGAAAAAAATTCAGTAAAAAACGACCTGAAAAGGAATCACCCAGCGAATACGACAATTTCGAGGTGGAGGTCGAAACCGCCGATGGTACAAGAAACACGTGGAGACCACAGATGGTTTTTAACAATAGAACCGACAAGGACACGGACGACAAGTCCTCAGTTATGAGGGTTAACAAACGTAAAAAACCGTCGTTTCTATTGGAAGTTGAGTTGGCTCCGTTTTTGGATGGTAAATTTTTAAAATTCGATCCTAATGGCAATAACTAATCAGACCGATCAGGTAAAACTCATGCATATTCGCGTTAATGGCTTCCGCATCTTCGCACGATTCTGCACCAGTGCATTTATCTCTAGACTAACTTTTTCATTAAACTGTAAAAACAGAGAATATGTATTAAATGAAATGAAAAAAAAAAAAATGACTGGATGTCGATTGATTGTTGCAGAAGAGCCACCTTTCCCGACTCACTATACTCCGGAGAAATCGGCGTCGCTGGTCGTCGATTCTTTTAAATCTGGCCAAGTTACTCCTTTGTCTGGTCAGGTAAGTTGGCAAATCAAATTACCAGTTAGTTGATATACTTACAGAGACAATATACAAACTTTGTAGATCATCCGTTTGAGAGATGGTTCCCAACCGTCCGAAGGATACGTAGAAGTTCAAGGCAGTCAGCCAGGATGGGGCGTCGTTTGTGATTCTAAGGAAGGATGGACTCTCACGGAAGCTCACATCGTCTGCAAGCAGTTGGGCTACGCGAGGTAAAACCTGTATAGATGTTGTTAAAAATGTATGAAAAAAAAAAAACTCATCCGTCATATTGGTGAAATGCAATGTCAGAGGTGCGATCTCGGCTTGGCAAGGCCGTCCAAAAACGTCAGTGGTGCCAAAGTGGATAGCAGCCAACGGTGTTACCTGTCACGGCAACGAGACCAAATTCCAGTTTTGCAAGTGCGTATCTTGCAAAAACAAAAGTAAAATGGAAAAAATTCGTATAATAATCCCGTGATTGAATTTTCCTAGGTTCGCGCACAAGCCTCATTGTAACGTGGAACGTGACGCGGTAGCGGTGCGTTGTCTCCCGCATCGAGTGGCTCACTGTAGAAACGACGAGGTGCCGCATAACGGAAGGTGCTACCATTTCGCCGAGCCGAGTCAAGCCTTCAGTCACTCGGAAGCTCACGAGTACTGTCATCGACGGGACTCAAGGCTGATAGACATCGTCGACCAGCCTGAAAATGACTTTGTTTCGGAGCTGCTGGTACAAAACCAACCGCACGTCGACTCCATCATGACGTCCGGTATGGGTTTCTCGATAGTCAACAGGACCATTTGGACGTGGGAGGACGCATCGGCTGCCAAATTCAAGTACTGAGGACATGCATATGTCATTTCTTGTGGGGAGAAATCACGTGACGGCGCTTGATTCCGTAGGTACACCAAGTGGTGGTCGGGATGGATGGGGGACAAGAAATCGGTACCGCTGGTCGGCTCGCGGCCGGTATGCATAATAATGACGAGAAAGTTTCCGTGCCACAATTACCCGGACAAGTACTGCAAGACCGACTACTTCTTCTGGGATGTCGAGGACTGCGCCAGCTCGAACAAGGGCCACGCCTACATCTGCGAAAGAACTTACGACGACATTGGTAAGACTGGAAATCGAACTTGAGGTGTATATAATGTAAGGCTGAAACGCAATTTTGATCCTATGCAGGATGCATGTACGGAAATGGGAATCAGTACTTTGGTAACGCGAGCGTGTCGTCGTCGGGAAGAGCTTGTCTACCTTGGTCCGATCGCGAGGTGGCTCGCTCTTTGGTCGTGAAAGTGCCGGACAGGGACGTGCGAGATGGCTTGAAATCGCACAACCACTGTCGAAATCCAAATCCCAGGAAGGAATCGAAGCCTTGGTGTTTCACGGGTCCCAGGGGCGAATTGGAATATTGCGATATTCCACATTGCGGCAAAATGTGTAAGGAATATTCATTTTTGTTACCTGCAACAATCTCATTTCGAAAAGAAGCACCGACGGCTTCGAGCTGGATCTACAATTTTTTTTTCATCGTAGATTTCACGAGCAAAGTATTGATTGAATAATCAAACCAATACTTATTTTTCGTTTTATAATAGAATTTGAAATTTCATCAAGATATTATGTTTCACAGATTGTGTATTTTTCTAACAAATGTCAATTAAAAAAAAAAANCGATTATGGAAAGCCAATCATCAGTAATTACTTGTGTAAATATTGAGTCCCGGCTACAAGCGCTCTACATTTGTTTATGTTTACTTGCATTTTGGTTGAGCATAATAACAACGTATCATTAAATTAGTCATAAAATTTTTAATTTTCATAAACTTTTTAATTTAATATATTTATTCACCCCCATGGTGTATATTCTTTTATTTTTTTAAGTTACAAGTTATGTTTCGCATTTCTTTTATCGCGAAATTAAAATGTAGTTCTCGATTAATGTTTTTGAATTGAAATTTGTACAAATATCAACAATGCACCGTACATTAAACATCAAATTCGTTATGAAAATTTTAGTGATCGAGGGATGATTTTTAACACAGAGAAACTTGATGTGATTTAAATATCTATACACTTATCTTAGAACATCGAATATTAAATGAATTAAATATTATGAAAAAATTAATACAACGATTGAATGAGAAACTCAGCTACGTACGATTATGGTTTTTGTTTTAGTAACTAAAAGTCTTCACCTGACCGGCACCTGCAAACCAAAACACTTCGAATGCCTTCCCGGCGAGTGCATCCCTTCCCCGTGGGTCTGCGACGGTCAGGAGGTAATGTATATTATCATTGTCCCAAACGAGAGGTATATATATATAAAGCAACTGTTGAAACTATTAATATATCGCGTTGTATTTAAGGACTGCACTAACGGAGCTGACGAGCGCAATTGCAGATTACACATGAACTTTTTCAAGAAGTACCCAAAGCGCGGTCTCAACGGCTTCGAGGTCGAGAAGTGGCTGAACACACCGGCCAAAACGTGCGCGCTGCGCTGCAAAGAGGCAGACTTTACTTGCCGCTCGTTCACGCATCAGTGAGTATTGTTTTCTCAAGTGATTGGCGAATATTTATAAAAAAAAAAAAAAAAAAATCAAACAGAATTTGCACACGAATTTGCTCTACATATGTACAAGAGGGAATGTTCACGGTACCGATTTTTCAGCGTCAAGAGCAACATTTGCTATCTGTCCGATAGCAACATTGGCATGACGGGCGCTCTGACGGAGAGCGACGAGCACGATTACTACGAGATGCGAGACCGGAGCATCGATTGCGACGACATGTTTGTTTGCGCCAACGGAAAATGCGTCGATCGCGGCAAAGTTTGCGACGGCAAGAACGACTGCATCGACAGATCGGACGAGAAGACGTGCACGGCCGAGAAGTTGGATTACGGAATACGCTTGGTGGGCTCCAACCTGAGCCACGAGGGCAGAATCGAAGTCAAAAGTGAGAGCCATTACTTTATTTTTCGAAACTGTCAGGGGGGAAGGGGGGATAAAAAAATATATGTATACGAGTGAACTCAGACGTGCACTTTCGCGACGATTTCCATGAGATCGGAAAAATCTAAACCTCGCGTCGACCAATGGCAATGGAAATAAAAATGATACAGCTTTCCATGAACGGAGGGAGTGTACTTTACGAGACGATATGGCCCTGAAATGAAGCGAAAACAAAGCGCACACCAGAGATGATAAAAATCGCAAAGTAACGAGAATAAATAATTTAAAAAACGCTCGATTTTAAAAAAGCGTGTGTCTTTGCCATTGTTTTCTGAATTCGTATTGATTAAGTTACTAGAAAATGCGTATGATCGGTATAATTTTCATGATTTCTCGCGGGGGGGTGGGGTGAAAAGCTTTCGGCAAATGGGGTCAAGTGTGCGACGACGGGTTCGACATGAACGACGCCAACGTCGTTTGCAAGGAGCTCGGTTTCCAGCTCGGGGCACTCGAGGTGAAACCAGGCGGGTACTATGGTAACCTCGATCCTCCGGACGCGTTCATGGTCGACCAACTCAAGTGCCACGGAAGCGAGAGCACCATACGAGAATGCGACTTTGAAGGGTAAGCCTTCGAGTGAACCCCGTTGCGGGTTGTGCCCTGACTCATTTTTTTTTTTTTTTTTTTTTTTTTAATCATACAGGTGGGGCAAGCACGACTGCGATCCGGGAGAAGCCGCGGGGGTCGTTTGCAAGACAGACGCCGACGTTTGTCCGATCGACCGCTGGAAGTGCGACGATGCTCCGATGTGCATCCCCACGCCCTTCATTTGCGACGAGGTGAAAGATTGCCCCGATGGATCCGACGAAAGCTCCCGGCACTGCGACGTGAGTGAATAATTTTTTTCCATGCAATAGGTGCAAAAAGAAAAAGAGAGAGATAAGTAATTTTGACGTTTCGCAAAAAGGCCCCGTTCGAGTTGCGATTGGCCAATGGCAGCAGTCCACTAGAGGGTAGGGTCGAGGTCCGCCACCACGGGATTTGGGGAACCGTGTGCGACGACGACTTTTCCCAAGCCGCGGCTACGGTGATTTGCCGATCGCTCGGCTACGGTGGTCCTGCCACGGTGAAAAAGAACGGCCACTTTGGCCCCGGCACGGGTCCCATTTGGCTGGACGAGGTAGGTCGGCTGTGCATAGTATACAATTTTACTTGCACTTTTGATGCGACGGTGTCCAATGTGTTTTTGTGTGTGTGTGTGTTAGGTTTACTGTTTGGGCAACGAAACTCTGCTGAGCCACTGCGAGCATGACTACTGGGGCAGGCACAATTGCCACCACAACGAGGACGCGGGTATTGTATGCACCGCCGGTCCCATTCCACACGAGTACGAGGTAATACTACGTGCGAGACGCGCACGGATTCATAATACCGTTACAACTTGATGAGTATATGGTAAATAGGCAAAAAAGTAGAGTAGGCTATATTAGTCCAGGTGAGTGAGAGCTTTTGAAAAAATATTATCGATTCGATTGCCGGGTTGAAATATTTTTTTTTTTCAATCAACTGGTGGAAAGTGAAAAAAATAATTTAAAAAAAAAAAAAAAATCGTTTGGAAGAGTCGAAATCAATGCCGTCGTTGATTGTTTATGAATTTAAATGTTATACAACTGGCGTCGAATTTTATTTTTGTGTTATATTATTTTTTTTTTAAATTATTTATCGCCGTATCAGCCAAAGTCATTTCAATGTAAACGTTGTGTATTCAAAAAATTTTATGATTCAAGCAGTGCAATAAAGGTGTTAACAGCTACAGCTATTTTTCTTTAATTTTAGTGTAAGAAAAAATTCTCGAAATTTACTTGGAGAATATTAATCAAACATTAATATTAATCAAGTATTGACGTAATTTTACAATGTTTTGGCTGCGATTCGCGATTATGGAAAGCCAATCATCAGTAATTACTTGTGTAAATATTGAGTCCCGGCTACAAGCGCTCTACATTTGTTTATGTTTACTTGCATTTTGGTTGAGCATAATAACGCCTTTTTTTTTTTTTTTTTTTTTTTTTTTTTTTTTTTTTTTTT